GTGGCCATCCCCCCTGGGGGGTGATTTCTCGCTTTCTGTCTCTCTGTCTCTCTCTGTCTGTCTGGCGAGTGCACGCACCCTATAGCGAAAACCTCTTATTTAAGAAGAAAAGAAAACTAGGATAGGCAGATGGTGTAGTGATTACATTGCTGGATTCTCATGTAGTCAACCATGGTTCAGTGTCAGTCCCAGTGCCTTAGAAACTCATGCCAAGTGCATATGCGTGCATGCCTAAATTCCCAAGAGGAGAATGGAGGAGAATGGATTGCACTGTGGCCATCCTCCCTGGGGAGTGATTTCTCACTTTCTATCTCTTTGTCTCTGTCTTTCTGGCGAGCGCACACACCCTATAGCAAAAACCTCTCCAAAAAAATGAAAATTATTTACCCAGCGAAAAATATATTTCAGGTGTTCTGCTCTATAGCACTAATGTGAGAAAAAGGTCACAAGTAATGCTTTCTGATTCAACTTTCAGGAACTTACTCTAAGTCCGCTTATCGATGATGCACTAAAGAAGAAAAAAAAACAGGGGCCAGCAGGTGGTGTGGTGGTTAAGGTCCTGGACTCCCATATGGCTAACTGCAGTTTGAATCCTAGACCCAGTGGCTTGCTTTCTCACTCTCTTGCTTGCTCTCTCTCCCTCTCTCTGGTCAAATTAAAATGAATGAATGAATAAATAAAATTGAATAAATAATTCTTTAAAAATAAAAAAGCAGGTTAGATCATACAGAAGATCGAATCTCAGATGTAGAAGATAGAACCTCTCTGACCAGGAAAAATTCACCAAAAAAGACTGAGAAAATAACTTTCCCCCAAAGAGAATAATATACAAGTAATACTAGATACCATTAGGTGCTATAACATCTGGATAATCAGTATCCCAGAAGGTGAAGAAACTAATCAGGGCATTGATAATCTATTCCATGAAATCCTAGAAGAACACTTTCCAAACCTAGAGAGGCACTCAAATATTGAGACCCAAGAAATACGAAGGATCCCACATAGAATCAATCCAAGAAAATCTTCTCCAAGGTATATCATAGCCAGATTGACTAAAACCACAGACAGACAAGATACTAAAATTGGCAAGAGAGAAAAGTCAAGTTACTTTTACAGGGTATCCCATCAGGCTGACAGCAGACCTCTCATCAGAAACAATGCAAATAAGGAAAGAATGGGAAAATATATTCAAAGTGCTGTTCTCTCGGGATTTTGGGCACGCACACACGCGCCTGGCGTGAGTTTAAGCCACCGGGTCCAGGACGCGAACTGTGGTCAACTACGTGGGAACCCAGCAACATAGCCATTACGCTAACTGCTGGTCTTAACCACTTTCTTAACTACTTCATTTCTTACTTCTAATTATAGAGGCTAGATAGTTAAATACTTGATTTGCAAGCCTCCTTAGCAGCCAAGGATAACCTTTACTATTTTGTTTTGGCCAATGAGATGCAAACAGAAGTCCTTCAGAAAGGTTTCCCTTCCCAATTAATAAGGTTAAACCTTGCTAGGAAAAAAACCACTGGGATCCTTCCCTTGTCTCTGTGTCTGGAATGCACGTGTGAGAACTCAGAGAAGAAGGTTTTTCATAACTATGAAGGCAGAGATAAAGCACTAAAAATGGCAGAGCAGAAAGACGGCAACAGGCTGACTCTGATGGCAAGGCTGGGATGTTCAACCCTAGAACTTGTCGAGTCAGACGAACGCCTACTTACTTCAGCCACTTCGGGGCAAGGTTTCTATCTGTAGCCATGCAGTGCTAACCGTACAGATTACTCACAGTGTAGGATGGAAAGGCCTCGGGCTGTTGGAAGGAGAAACAAAGGTAAAGGTTTTCCACCCAGAAGAGGCTGGATCAAGTACCCAGACCGTGCATACAAGCCACACTGGGATGAGAGCCGCAGAGAGAATGGAGGACCAGGAATCCTGAAAAGCCCAAATGCAGACTTGAGCCCAGTGCCTTGGCGGTTGGGCTATTTGTCTTCCCAAGGCTTGTTTAGTTTGGGTACAAAGTACTTCATCGAAGTCATTCTTCTGTTTCAAGTATTTTCAACATGACTGACAGCAAATATGTATATGATGAATTTTCAAAGCTGTCCTCAGATGATATACAAATGAGACCAATTATGAGGGGAAAGAGAAGTGCTGACTTATTCCTCAGGAAGATTTTGTACTTACTTAGTTTCTCAAACTGTCGTAGTTGGCAACAACTAAAGGCAAGTCACCACTATGACCTCGCACAACGCCAAGGGAGGAGAGGACTGAGCCATGAAAGGCTCCCGTGGCCAGGAATGGAGAGCTAGCACTGTTCTTCACGCATATGGCACACACCGTGTGCTCAGCATCATGTAACTTGTCACGAGTACGAGCACCATGTTCCTTTGAGCTTCCAAGCAAAGACAGTGTAGGAGGACGAAACCCGGTATGGGTAACACACACTTATAAGGCAAGTACATCCACAGTAAGACAATGGGCTTCTTTAACATACGGCATAGTTTTAAAGAATTTTTTTTTTTTAAGAGAGATTTTTCCTGTAGGGTGCGCATGCTCACCAGAGAGACAGAGAGAGAAAGATAAACAGAAAGTGAGAAATCATCCCCTGGGGGGATGGCCATGCTGCAATCCCTTCTCCTCTAGGAATTTTGGGCATGCACGCACATGTGACTGGTGTGAGTTTTAGGCCACCAGGTCTGGGATTTGAACTGTGGTCAACTATGTGGGAGTCCAGCAATGTAACCATTATGGCATCAGCTGATCCCTATTATTATTATTATTATTATTTTAAAATTTGCTATAGGGCATACGCTATCACCAGAGAGAGAGGGAAAATCAGGTGGCAAGCTACCAGGTGTGGTACTTTAACTGCAGTTGACCACGTGGGCCCTAACTACCATGCCACCTTCTGCCACAGCATCATTTCAAAGTTGTGAAATCTGATGTGCGAAACAGTATGTGTGGCAAATATATCCTTTTTCTTCAAGTCCTTTAACTTTTTTGATACTTTCTTGTTCTGTATGTATCTTTCTGAATTTCAGCTTTAAAACATGAATAAATGAAATGGGGAAGATGAACCTAGCTAAAATCCATTTTACAAAACAAGGATTACCAAAAAAATAAATAAATAAAAGCTACCATGATCTTGTATCAACCAAGAAACCAGATGTATGACTTTTTTTAAAAAAAGACTTATTTAACTATATTTATTTATTTATTTATTTATTTATTTTAATTTGACCAGAGAGAGAGAGAGAGGGGAAAGTGAGAAAGCAAGCCACCAGGTGTGGGACTTGAACTGTGGTCAGCCATATAGGAGTCCAGTGCCCTTAACCACCATACCACCTGCAGGCCCCAGATATATGACTTTTTAAGAGTGATGTTTGAAATTGTTCATATATATAATTTTTTTTCCTTAGATTTTTGCCATAGGGCATGTGTGCTCACTCATGGGAGAGGGAAAGGAAAAGTAAGAAATCATTCTCCCCAGAATGAAGGGGGGAGGAGAGGAGGGGATGGCCACACTGCAATTCCTTTTCCATCCTTCCATCCTCTCAAGATTTTAGGCATGCATGCACATGTGCCCAGCATGATTTTCAGGTAGCTTGAAAATCACAGTTTGACTGGGACTTGAACTGCAAGCAAACGTGGGAATTCAGCGTTTTAACCACCATGCCACCAGCTGGCTCAGGTACTATTAGTATTAAGAGCGATAGAATCAGTTAGTTAATAGAGAAAGATCTATCAATAGAAGGATATATAACAAATTGCTGGGATTAGTTATCTCTAGGAGATGGGAATGTAAAGAAATGGTGATAAATTATTAAAATTTTCTTTACATATGTTTGAATTATTTCATTTGTTATAATAAATACATAATAATTTTGTAATAGAAAACATTGCTAAAGAGAAGCGACAATTTTGTTTTCTTAAAAAATACTGATTAAGAGAGTGTTTGTATATAATGCACAGAGTTTAACATGTTAGAAAGAATGAGTAAGCTTGGAAAAGACTAAAATCCCAAAGGTAATTCCTCAGTATTGTTTATAGCATAAGGTTTTTTGTTTTTTTGTTTTTTTTTTTGCTATAGGTTACGTGTGCTCCTAGAGAGACAGAGAAAGTGAGAAATCACCTCCAAGGGAGTTCGGTCACACCACAATTCCTTCCCCATTCTCCTCCTGGGATTTTTTTGGGGGGCATACACAGCATGAATTTCAAGTCAGCAGGTCCAGGACTTGAACTGGAGTTGGTCATGTGGGAGTCCAGTGCCTCAACCACCATGCCACCTGCTGGGCCCCAGAGCAGAAGCTTCATGAAGCAGAGGCATAAGGGTAGCCTCTTTAATAACCTTTCTTGGGGCACAAGCCACTACTCTAGGGGATAGCCCAGTATATTCCCCTCTAATTAAATGAAGAAATGTGGGTAATGAGTTAGCACAGCGCATAATCAGAGTCATTTATGGCCTGCCAGATGGGACCCTTGTCTCCTGCTGGGTTAATCACATACATTATTCACGGCACAGATGGAGAGCTTCTCAAAGAGCAACATACCCCTTTCCTCTACAAGTTCCTGCCCTATTCACCAGGGGTCATTATCTCTAACCCTTCCATTAGCCTTTTTTTTTTAGTAATTATTTTATTTTTTATTTATTCATTCATTGATTTTTTTTTTAATTTGACCAGAGAGAGACAGAGGGTGAGAGTGAGAGAGAGAGAGAGGAAGTGTGAAAGCAAGCCACCAGGTACAGGACTTGAACCCTGGTTGGCCATGTGAGTGTGTCCAGCACCTTAACCACCACGCCATCCACTGGTCCTCTCCACTAGCCTTTTTTAGGCCTCATCAGAATCCTACTATACAGAGGTGGGTGATTCCCCAGCAGATCATGCTAACTTTTCAAACTAGTTTTTTTCTTTTTTAAGATTTTAAAATTTTTGGTATATGGCACGTAAACTTGCTGGAGAGACAGAAAGGGACAGAGACACAGAAAGTGAGAAATCACCCCCCCCTCCCAAGAATGAGCACACTGCAATCCCCTCTCCTCCATTTTCCTCTTGGAATCTTGGGCATACGCAGATGACCAATGTGAGTTCCAAGCTCCCAGGTCCGAGACTGGAACTGTAGTTGACTACATGGGAGTCCAATGATGTAACCGTTATGCCATCTGCTGGTCCCCCTACTGCTAGACTCTTAAGCGTTAAACTTGATGATATTGACATAGAGGATGGGTGGGACTGAATAATTCGTTGTTGGGGGAGAGTACTGTGTATTTTAAGTTGTTTAATGGCATCCCTGGCCTCAACCCAGTAGATGCCACTAGTACTCTCTGTAGCCTGTCCTATCCCCTCCACCTTTCCCACCCCCCCGCCAAACAAAAATGTTTCTAGACATTGCTAAATATCTCCTGGCAGAAAAATCACCCCCAGTTGAAAATATCCCTACTATATCCTATCCTCAGAAGCCAGAGGCTATTTTTAAAATGTAAATTGCATCATGTTAATCCCGTTTTGAACATCCTCCAATGTTTTCCTATTGATCTTAGAATCAAACCAAGCTCTTACCTGTGGCTTATAAAACCTCTATGACTGGTGCTTGCCTACTTTTAACCTTCTCTCCTCCGTAGCCCCCTCTCTTTCTCTCTTACTTCCTAGACTCCAGCCAAACTAATCTTTCTGTTCCTTGAACATTACATGCTTGTTTCCAACCACCCTTTGCACTTGCTGCTCTTTCTGCTTAGAATGCACTCTTCCCAGATCTTGGAAAAGAACTTATTATTTCAAAACATAAACAAAGGTCAATTAAAAATTAATGAAAGCCTGTTCTTTGCCCCTCAGGTTTTTAGCAAGCATATAATCATTCCACGGGTCATGGTTTCAGTTTGGTCACTATTCTCCCCACACAAATCTCAGATCAAATGCTATGTAATGAGCAAGGCCTTCCCTAATCATCTTCTATAAAGAATCTCCTTACCTCCATTGCCTATCCCAGTACTCATTTATTTCCTTCCTAGTGTTAATCACAGGAGAAAATGGTCTTGTTCTGTCATGTTTTCTGTCTCTTTAATAATGACTTCTAACATTAGTTTTGATAGGTTTACCTTCAGTTTTTAACTACATGAAACCTGTGTTTAAAAATGTGTGAGGGGGGTACCAGGTACAAAGACTTAGCAAAAGAAAGTAACTTATTATTTTGAAACATAAACAAAGGTCAATTAAAAATGAATAAAAGCCCCACAGGTTTCTGGCAGGCATGTAATCATTCCACAGGTCAGGATTTCAGTTTGGTCTCTGCTCCCGAGTTTCAAGCAGTGAATGTTTTGGGGGGCTGTGAATCCAAAACTCACCTGGCTCAGGAGCTCAAGCACCCTCTTTGTCCATCAACCCAACTTACGTAGTATCAGGGGTCTGAAAACTGGCTTCAAGGTGGAACAGTTCAGTGCGACAAAAGCAGGTTGGTTCAAGGGGCAGCATGGTCAATGAATGTTGGCTGAATCCAGAAGCCGCAGATCCGCTATTTCTTACGTTGATTTATGGGCTTGTTTGCAAGAAGCCAAAGATGCCTGGGCCATCTGGCAGCTGGCTGGCTGGGAACTGGAGGTAATTCTGTCCTGGCTAAAGGCCATGGGCTACGGGCCATGGCCCTTTCGCGGCCTTGGGGAAGCACTTCATCGGGCCATTTTTACATTCTGGCTGGCTGCCGGCTTGCCCACGCGGTGCAGAGACGTCTCCACCCGCAGAGCCGAGGAGGCCCTCACCTGGCGGGAGGATGTTTCCACGCGCTGCGAGGAGGATTCCACGTGCTGGGAAGACATCTCGAAGACGTGGGGGAGCCGCTTTCCAGAGGGGGACAGGGAGGGCCCCTCGCTGCGGCGCTGGGAGGTCTCCACCCGCCGGGCGGTCGTTCGCACCTGCCAAGAGGATGTCTCCACGCGGTGGGACGAGGTCTCCACTCGGACCGTCGACGTCTCCTTCTGGCAAGTGGTCTCCGCCCTGGGCGAAGAGGGCTTGCCTCCAAAAGGTGAGGCCATTCTGCGGATGTAAGGGGGCCCTACAGCCCAATTGTCACCCTCAGTCACACCTGTGGGGTACGTCACAGCGCAAGGAATGACGTCAAAGACGTGGAACACTACGTTGCGGTTGTCACAGGTGAGAGTGCCACGACACGATGACGTGAGAACACTATGTCCCTGTGGCGGCCCATAGGTCCCTTCAGAACGCCGGTCCCTGCCCTCAGGCGCGCCCTCGGCTCCGGCACCGCCCCCTCGCCATTCCGGATCCCGAGCGGGCGGAGCGAGTCTAGCCCCGGCGGGCCAGGAATGGGCGGGGCCTCCCCGCGAGGCTGTCCCCGCCCCCGTATCCCACACTGCCCCGGGACCGGAAAAGGGCACTGTGACTTCCGGAACCTCCCCCCGCCCCGGCACTCTGAGTAGTCGCTCTGTCAGGCTGGTGGCGATTTAGTGTTTTTGCCAGTTATGGCCGCTGCCGTCGCTATGGAGACAGGTGAGTAGCGCTCCGAGCCTCGAGTCTTCGCAGACAGGACTGTGCTCGGCCGGAGCCCTTGTCCCGCTTCCCGGGGCTTCCTTTCAGGCCTAGCTCTCCGCAGGGTTAGGGCGCGGGTGGGGAGGGGAGTGGGATCGTGTAGCCGTGCGCAAAGACCGCGGTCGATTTTGTCTTTTTCAGAAGTTGGTTTGTTCGCCCGTCTTTTCTCCTCACCTGCTATTCTAACACCGACACTCCCACCGCCAGGCTTCCCGAAGTGGGCGAGACTATGGGCTACGGACTTGGGTCTTAGAGCTTCTCTTCCTTGGTTGATTTTCTGCTTCTAACAGGAGCTTGCATAAGTTTGAAATATCGTCCACAAACTTGCCTATCTTTCTGACGGAGGCTTCGCACATACACACAATTGCATGTCTTTCACATTCCCGTAGTCTCTTTTTCCGTTTGCATCCTGAACTTTTTCCTAACGGAGCGCTTAGCTTTGGCTTAACGTAATCACTCTTAACAATTGGTATAATCAGGACTCCGCTTTTCTTAGATTTCCAAGGAAGGTTTATCTCCTCTCACTCAGTTTAGACGTCAATCACATGCCCTTCTTTATGCAGCAGTGTATCTCAGCATTAGTCAGAGCTCTTTATTGCTGTTTCTTTTCTACAAATCAACATTTTTTTCAGTCGTGACCTTTATTTTGGATTATTTTTGTTGTCTTCTCTCCTAGATGATGCTGGAAATCGACTTCGGTTTCAGTTGGAGTTGGAATTTGTGCAGTGTTTAGCCAACCCCAATTACCTTAATTGTAAGTCGTTGAGCGCCTCATTAAATTGAGTGACTATTAGTGATTTTTGACAGAGGAGTTGCAGTCATAACAGTATTTACTTTTATACTTTCTCGGTTGAATGGAATTACACATATGCTCACATATAGATATAATTGAGCAAACTGGGACTTGTGTTTTGAACTCAGTGTGTGTTGGTGGTGGGGATGTTAAGTAAATAGATTCTTTATATTAAGGATCACACATCAGTAGTCCAAAGATTGGTTTGATCTATTTTTTTTTTTTTATGCCTTTCAGTTCTTGCCCAAAGAGGTTACTTCAAAGACAAAGCTTTTGTTAATTATCTTAAGTACTTGCTTTACTGGAAAGAACCAGAATATGCCAAGTATCTAAAGTAAGTTTAATCTTTATAATCCTAAATATGTATATACTTTATTATAACCCAAAACATTGATATTTAACAGATTTCTTAGTTTTACATTGGAAAATACATTTTGAACCCCTCTACTTTTTTTAGTTGTCAATATCTTAATACAAGACACCCTCATCACTAACATGGATTACTGCAGTAATCTATTCACTGTTTATCTCTACTTTTAGTCTTCCCTTTCTTCCCCCCAGTCCTCAAACCAAACAAAGCAAAACAATTTACTATACTAAATCTAAATAGCTCTTTCAAATGTGTATCAGAATTGTTTATTAATTTAATCCCAAAAAAGTTTTTTTTTTTTTTAAATTAGATTTCACCATGTATGTAGACCCACAGATTCAGTGTTAGAAACCTTAGTCACCATCAGGTTCAGTCTCATGCATGCACAGTGCTGGGAGAGAGAATCATTTACACTTTGGTTGGAGGTTACCAGTAAGCACATGTTACTCTGTCAGAAATGGCTGACTTGATTGTTAGCCATGTTAGAGAGTCTGTCCTTATATTGTGATATAATGTACTTTCTTGTAGTTTCACCCTGTTCACAGTTTGGTCCTTGAGTTAGTTAATCTAGAATCCTCTTGAGGACAGTGGCCCTTCAGATATTAAATTCAAGAAAGGTTGCAGATCAGCTCCTCTTGGGCATTTTATTCAGTCTGTACAGAATTTTAGTTTTTAAAAATGATTGACAACATTTAAAAATGAGAAGGTTTTGGGACCAGCAGATGGTGTAATGGTTACAATGCTGGACTTCCACAGCTGACCGTGGTTTGAGTGCCAGACCTGGTGGTTTAAAATTCACACCAGATGTGAGTACGTGCCCAAAATCCTGCGAGGAGAATGAAGGAGAAAGGACTGCTGTGTGGCCATCCCCCGCAGGGGGTGATTTCTCGCTCTCTGTCTCTGTGTCTCCAGCAAGTGCATGTGTCCCATAGCAAAACTCAAAAAAAAAAAAAAAAAAGGAAGATTTTATATAACATTTCTGATCTCTAGCTACTCTTTAAAATCTGAAAGATCTGGTACCCCAGGTCTTCATTCTTCCAAGTCAACAGCCGGCTGGATCTAAGAAGAGCTGCCTCTTATTTATTATTTATTTACTTTTTTATATAAAGGTTTTTTTTGCAATAGAGTGCATGGGTTCACCCTCAGAGAGACAAGAAATGATCCTCCCAGGGGGGATGACAACGCAGCACTCCCTTCTTCTCCATTCTCCTTTCAAGATTTTGGGCATGCATACACATGTGCCCGGCATGAGTTTTTAGCTCCCAGGTTCAGGACTCGAACCGTGGTTGACTACATGGTAAGCCAACAACAACCATCATGCCATCTGCTTGTCTCAAGCAGCTCCCTCTTATAGACACTTTCCACCATTTGGCCTGCTTCCCTTTCAGTCAGTATGTGTCAGCTACGTTCAGCCACTTAAGTTCCATGACTCCCAAACATTTCACAACTATTTGGCAGTTGTACTTCATGAAATTCAGCCAAGAGTTAAAACACAGGCCTTCAGATGTGGTCAGGGTGCAGTGGAACAAATGGCATTTCTTTTCTTCATGTAGACATTACACTTCTACCAGTTCAACTTAAGTTACTTATTTTGGGGAGACAGATGTAGGGGATCCCAGTTGCTGGGAGCTTTATGTTGACTAAATCCTTCAGTTCTCATTTTCATCCGTGCAACTGAGTTTTCCATTCATACTTTATTTAAAAAAAAAAAAATCTAAATGTATAACTTTCTTTTTGGTTCTCTTCTATTTCATCTTACTGATTTGTAGTTTATCAGAGACTATTAATTCCTTATTCTGTCATCTAATGTATTCTGAGCACTATCTTCTGCAAGTCTCCTATAATAAATTGGTTACTGCATGTCTAAGTTCCAGTTATTGACTAATTGCTATTTGAGACTATTCTCTCAGTTGTCACATTGTTTTATAGATGAAGAAATTGAACTTTTGAAAGGTTAAGTACATTGTTTAAGGCCACCAACTGGTAATCAAACCTGGGTTTTGCTTAACTACTGATGCTATCATGAAAAGGCATTTAGCATAGAGCATTCTAGTCTAAGCTACCAGCAGTTATAGGCAACTGTACACTTTTTTTTTTTTATTAATTCACTTTACACCATCACAACACACAAATGAATTTTCCATCCAAAATACACTGTGCATTGGCTCAATCAAGCACATCCACATACATGTTCTCAGCAAATAATTTTCCAATTCTTACGTCCTGCATACCTTGCCCTTTGTCTTGCCATCCCTGATTCCCCATCCCCCACCCTCTGCTATGTCCCATCTTCCTCCCCCATTGTCCCTGGCATCCATGGTTGCCCTCCATACCTCCCCCCCCCATTCAA